AAATAATAAATACATAATTATAATAGTATTATTATAATATCGACGTGTCAATATAGGCCTAGGTCAACTGCAGTGTTTAGACCTATATCAAATCCGTTTATAATGTCGGTGGTCTTCAAGTTGAATGCCTCAATTAGTAAAAATGTAGATAGACTAGAGTTGACTAGATTATTTTAATGTCATACCTTTAAATTTATTAAGAATACAAAACATTACGAAAAACTCTTATTCGTTGAATGATGAATTGAATACAAATCCATGTAGATTTCTTCTCATCGCGCTTTGCGGTGCGTATTTATGACTTATCTTTTTGACATAGGTTTAGAAAAATTATTATATAGTAAACAACATAAGCAGGACATAAGACATAGCACTCAACGCAGGGAGATCATGCCGTGGACGCTAATCTTTAGGATGAAGAATAATGACTTCAACAGTTTTGTGAGGAACATTTTCACCTGCTAAAAGACCGGCTCATGTCTTGAAATACGCCGAAGGCGCAACAATATACCTCTGATCAATCATGACAAAGAGAGTAAGGTACCGGTAACAAAACAATAACTAAGCATTCTTTTAAATACAAAAATAACAATAACCGCAGAAACAATAATAATAATAATATTAATAATAATAATAATGTAATAGTAATATGCCTAATGATGATAATGATGATGATGATGATAATAAGAATCACATGCAATAACAGTGCTTCATCAAAACTATGACGTCAGAGACTTTTAAAAAATATATACGGATATATATATATATATATATATATATATATATATATATATATCATCGTAAATCCACGTGTGTTCTTGAAATTATATAATAGAAAGTATAGCAACGAGTCATGTGGACACTATGAGCATACTTATTTATTTTCAAAGAAACCTTTGGTCTCCTTCATCTTATAAAACTAAATGACAAAATGCTTTAAGATGGAAGAGTAATTATACATATAGACAATGGTACTGTGATAGGGCTAGAGTTAAGTCCCATTATCACATAGTGTATGTATCATTCACTCAATTACTAATCCGAAATCAAAGCAGTGAACTGTGATCTAATACGTGTAAAATATCTAAAAGTCGAATAACAAATATAGATATAATGATGAATATGCTACACCTGTCTCTTATACACATCTGATGTGTATAAGAGACAGTATATATACTCCTAAAAAGTTCAACCGTTCCGCTATGCGATGTGAATTTTCTTTATGTTATTTATTATTTTGATAATGTATTTAAATGGTAGGTATAAATGGTAATGTTTGTTTCAAAAATTCTTATACATAGCGCAAAATTGTTACTCGAAACTCGTCCATCTTCCCTCCATTTACCTAATGAGTAGTCAATTTGTTTTCATCTATTTTATATCCTGGCTTACTATGTTCTGTGCGCAAATGTAACAGTTTGCTAGGTTTAACACGTGATATCTTCTGATGTATCTAAGAAAATTGAAGAGAGAAGAAATCTGACCAAGCAAAATATACGTCAATCAATCACCGCGAGTAGTGACCCTTTATTCGATTTTTTCTTTTCTTTGAATTTACCGATCATTTTTATTCTCTGTCGTCTTCTCTTTTGTCAAATCTTTTCTATAATTCACTTGCTATATCAATGTCAAGTAATCCACTTCATGTTAATAATGGTATTTTCAGTTTCTGTTTATTGTTTCACACAATGAACATAGTATAACAACATATCCTAATAGTTATTCATAGGTATAGATGTCCAAATAAATATCTAAGATAAGAAAGTATCGTGTCTATGCCTATACTTTTAATTCTGAACTTATTCTTGTCATCGAATTTGCCACTGTCGATGTTGAGTTACCATAAACATAATTAAATATAGTAGTAGTTGAGAGAGCAGTTTAGCTCAGTCGGCTGAACTGGCGGTAACCACTCTGTGTGCGCTGAACCTAGATCTCTGGTCCCTGGTTAAATTCCCTTTGCTGTACTACTTGTGTTTCGACTGCAGGGCTGAAATACAAGTTACAATTGCACATCGTCTTTCGGATGAAAAGTCAATCAAAGCTCTATTTCTCATAGTGGTTGGTTGGTAGGAGGGAGGGGCAGGTGAACTTTTCCCCACGTCAGAGAGCAAAGCAAAATTTTACGAGGGAGAAAACAAAATTATTGAGTAATTTTTAACAAGTTTTTACAGATTATGACACTATAGTCGATTAAACCATCCAAAGAATGACGGAACTTCCGTAGGCAACGCTTCTTGACCCCCTCCAAGGGGTTCTTAGTGTCACCTGTGTCTGCCCATTTATTGCTCCCATCGGAGCATCGACCCCTCCTCGTCGGAAACATCTTTTAAGTTAAAATTAAAATGCCACCACTGGTTAGACATTAAAAGTTGACAACTCATTATTATAATTTACAATATATTCTATGGCTTTTATCGAAGATCTTACAATAACTTTGGTTTTATCAATTTACTATACCTTTAATGAAGGTTCTTGCATAGGGTTATATATGTATTTGTATGACGTAATGGAATGAAAAAGATAAATATAAGATAATTGTTTAAAGTAGTCAAATCATAGTTGCAAACAAATTGCTTAAAACATAAACGGCGAATTTTCAAAAGAAAACACCATGACGCTTTTTTTAGTTTTAAAAAGGAATTCACTATTAATTTAATTGATTACTTTGAGTATTACTTTTTCAATTGAAAATTGTAATAAGACAAATTTCATCGGTAATCAACGCTCGTTAAAATAATACCGTTCCTATTTATTTGCCTAGTCCCTTAAATTGGCTGGTAATAAATTCTAGGATTTTCGTAGTAAAATGTCTATAAATCAGTGAAAACCGATTTTATTTCTATCAGTGGTTCACTCGAAGTTAAACCCCTTATTTGATCTTTTGAAATGAGCAACTTAGTTTCTTGATTGAATTTTTAAAGGTGGTTTTCCAGACTTTACCAGACGATATATCTTGAGCGAGTTTATTTCTCAACAAAGTTGCACAGGTAATATAGGGCAACATATAGTCGAGTGCAATGCCATTTGTTAAAAGCAAAAGTATGTAAACATTTTTATGGTTATT